AGAAAATTAAAAAATAATAAAAAGACTATGAAAGAGAAAAAGTAATGAAAATAGTGAAAAATAATAGAGTGGAATTTATCTCGGCAGAGTTGAGTGCCTGCTTGCTGGGATCTGTCTTTGAATATAGCGCAGTGTTTTCTGAAGCTGGTGCAATTCAGTGTCAGATGCTGTCCCCACTGGGCCCTTGACAACCTGATTGAAGCTACAAAGGATTTATAGTTTGTGGCTGCCTCCACCCAGCTTGGCTATGCATGGGAAGGGCCAACTTGCCCTGCAAGGCCAGCTATTAACAGCACAGGTCTCAGGGGTGGGTCAGCAAACAACCCAAGGCATCACAGAATCCACCTCTTCTTGTATCTGCCTGCTAGTCTGCTGTCAGCCTTAGTCACTGAACCAACTAGTTCTGAAAGGGCTTCTGGTGGAATCAAGCAAATGGGACCCCCTGGATATTTCCTGGGAGGGAGATGCCATTCAGACTTCAGGAAAGAACCACACATCTGAATCTGCCCCAGGTTATTTTCCTGAACTCAGTAGTGTGGAGCTCCTAGTAGGCAAGCAGGTGGGTCCTCTGAAGTCCAGAGTTTAGGTCCATTCAAAATCCCAAGGGTGTTTCTATTGCCTTTTCTGTGAGGGGGAAGTGAAAGTCCAGTTCCTAAGAGAGCGTAAGGAATGGCCACACCCCAAAGCCAGTCTCTGACACCCCCTGAGTCTGCCTATGTTGATTTCTACTCAGCAAGGCTTAAAATACAGGATGGGGGAAAAAACAAATGCAGGATGGGGCAAGCAATATCCCACAGGGTGGGGTAATTATGTTTCCCCAGGCTGACTCCCCAGGGAAGCACTTGCTCTTCTCAAGAAAAATGGCTGCTGAAATATCTGGGGATGACCTGGCACAGGGATCCCAGCAGCACTCCCCCATGACTCTACCCCATACCTCCCACTCCAGACTCTCCTCAGGTAACTCCAGTCCACATCACCCTCCCTTCAACAAACCCCAGGGTGAGTGGCTATGAATGAAAAACCTGTGCTTTGGCCCCTTAATAAAGTAAAAACAAAAAAAGTGACTTTGTCTCCAGCAGGCCCCATCTCTCCCTTATGGACAGAAACCCAAATACCCTTTATCGCTGGATCCCATGTGGGTGACTGATCCCAGCTCTTGCACTCTGTGTCTCAGAACTCAGTTTAGGGTCCAGACTTTATTCCTCTTGGGGGGAAACTGCAACAGCCACACTATTATCCCTCTGTAACCTGGGCCTGCTGCCGGTGGGAGAAGACAGTCCACTATTGTGACCACACCCTTCTTAATGGTCTCGAGGTGGTTTCTGCCCATTGTTCTTGGTAAACTTTTCTTTTAAATAATTGTATTATTATACAATTATATAAATAATTGTATAATTATTTAAAAGATACCATAGATTGTTTTTTGAATTACTTTCCTAAGTTAGACATTTGGGCTCTTTCAATTTTTTATTATAATTAATAACTCACCTAACATTCTTGAAAAAAAGCTATTTCTGTATTTGTTATATTTTCCTGTTTTCATGCATTTCTTCTAGGTATAAACTAATAATATACTCTTTTATCTCCTCTTTTCTAGTGCTTATTTTTTGTTCTGTGTCTCAATGAATGGTCCCAAATGTCCAGAGATATCTCATACAAATTTATGTTTTATTCTTGATTTTATTGAGAAAGGCTCTAGAATTTTTTATTATTAATATTTGCTATGGGTTTCAGGTAGACATTCATGTCATTTTAAAGAAGCATCCTTATATTCCTGTTTTTAAAGAGGTTTGTTTTGTTTTGAGATAAAAGACGTGTGTTAGCAAACTCATAGACACAGAGAACAGACTAACTGCTGTCAGAGGGGAAGTGGGTTGGAGGTCTGGGTGAAAGAGATGAAGGGATTAAGCAAAACAAATGAACAAACAAAAACTCTTAGACACAGACAGCAGTTCCCAGAGGAAGAAGGGGATGGGGAAGCTGGTAAAGGGGACATAAATGGCTACAGAAGACTTGCCTTGGACTGGTGAACAAACAATAGAATATAAGAATATGTATTATGGAATTGTACACTTGAAAATCATATAATTTCATTAACCAATGTCACCCAAATACATTCAAAAATTTTTTTTAGAAAAAACTTTTGTTAGAATTTAGCAAATGCTTTTGATATGTATCATTATACCATGTTATATATTTCTAATTTAATCTGCTATGATGTTTTGGCAACTTTCCTAATAGTAGTCTCTACATTCTTAAAGTTGATTTGTTTAGTGTTAATTATTCCTTAAATACACATTTGGATTTTATTTTTAGTGTATTTAAGAATTCTACGTGTATGTTTGTAAGTGAAAATGGTTTGATAGTTTTCTGGGTGTGTGTATGTGTATACATTCTGTTTTTTCAAGTTTTGCTATTCTGATTATAATTTTATAGACTGGATTGGGTTGAGTGGATCCTGGCCGCCAGGATCCATGTGTGTTGTGGGTGCTCATAAACAAATACACATGGACTACAGGAGTCCTGTGGAGAAAAACAGACTGCGTGGCCACTGTTTGAGAGAGAGAGGGCGAGAGGGCCCTGGCCCCTGCCTGGACAAGCTTTTATCGATTTTCTGTACATTATATGGTAGACAGTCCTCATTTACTATGTACAGGTTCACTGCAGGTGATTAGCTTTTACAGATGACAAAGGAAAGAATGTTGCTAATTACTGTAAAGAGAAGGATGTTACAGATCAAGGGGGGAAGTGGTTGAACTGGTTATACTCCATACTTGGGAGGTTTAGGTCAGATTTTAGGAAGTTATAGTAAGCACTGTCTGCCTCAATTCAGGGTGAGGGAGTTTTAGAAAAAGCAAGTCTCATAGTGGTCTAGGTACAATGCAGGCATGATTCCCTAAGGGAAAACCTCTCTGAGGGCATGGTCCTGGGTGTCAACTCACACCCCACTAGTTTTCCACGTGAGTGCTGAGCTACATTTCCATGCCATGCAAGATGGTTCCCTACATTGAGTTACATGCAGCTGAGTCAGCTCTGACTCCTGGTGACCCTACAGATGAGTGGTGGTCACACTGTCCTGATCTCAGCAGCTCTGCTGGGTGCCTGTAGGCCACTTCTATGACTTCTTTCATGGAGTCAGTGAATGTTATATTTGGTCTTGGTCTTTTCCTGCTGTGTTCTATTTTTGAGCTTAGTAGTTTGCCACTATTTTCTATATTCAGACACAGTTTATGTAGCATGAAACTATATGTTTCTTTAATTTAAAAAATATTCATCTCTAAAATGTCTGTGTTGTTTCACAGTGAGAAGTTGAAGAGAAGTTGAGAGTAATGACAGCATTCTTCAGTTTTTCAGTAGTTGGTCCATTTAAGGATTTTACTTTATATAATATTATTTTTTCTATGAACACTTATTGCCCTATACCCTCTTCCACCTCCACCAACCTGACCTCTGCAATCACCAGACTGTTGTCTTTGTCCATGAGTGTTTTCTCTTTTTGTCTTTTTTGCTCAATCTCTCTAGCCCCTCAACCCTGTTCCCAGAGCTTCTTAGTTCAGTTTGTTCAATGGATTCCAGAAATGAGAGAAATCATTTGTGGAATCCAAAGAATTATATGAACCATATGGAATCCAATGAATCATATGTATATCTCTGATTGGCTTAGTTTTCTTAGCATAATGCTGTCCAGGTCCAGTCATGTTGTTACAAAGGGTAAAATTCTTTTCCTTTTAAGACTGGGTAGCATTCCATTATATAAATGTCCCACAGCTGTTTTATCCACTCATCTAACTAATGGGCACTTGGGCTACTTCCAAATCCTGGCTATTGTAAATAACACTGCGATGAACATAGGAGTCTCTATATATATTTTTTTAATTAGTATTTTGGGTTTCTTTAGATAAAGTCCCAGAAGTGAAATCACTAGGTCCTAAAGCAGTTCCATTCTCAATTTTTTGAGGTAACTCCATACTGCTTTTCATTGTAGCTGCACTAATTTGCATTCCCACCAGCAGTGCATGAGGGTTCCCTTTCTTCCACATTCTTGCCAACCTTGATGTTTGTTGATTTATTGATGATAGCTACTCTGACAGGTATGAGATGGTATCTCATTGTAGTTTTAATTTGCATCTTTCTGCTGATTAGTAACATTGAGCATCTTTTCATATGACTATTGGCCACCTGAATGTCCTCTTTGGAAAAGTGTCTATTAGTGTCCTTTACCCATTTTTAATTGGGTGTTTGTGAGTTTGGTGTTGTTTTGTTCTTGTTTTAAAATCAGTGTTGGTTGTTTGTAGTTTTCTAGAAAAGTGTCCGTTTGGGGAGGTTTAAATTAGCATACACTTGTTCATAATTAATCTCTTATATTGTTATACTTCTCTGTAACCTTTGCTATGTTGTCTTTTTTTGCATTTGATTTTTTCCTTACCCCAAGAATAATAATTTAAATTATTTATTAATTTATTCATGCTAATGCTTTGTGTTTTCTAGTTCATCAGTATTGCTTTGTTTTCTCTTTTTTCTTTTGCTTAAAGCTTTTTACCATTCTTTTCCTTTTTCTAACTTCTTGAGATAAATACCTAGAATTGAGGTTGACTGTGTTTCTTAATTCCTTGGTCGTCAGAGTTCCATGCACTTTGATTTCCTGGCACTTCTGGTTGCTTATTGATTTTAGATTGGTTGTTATCCTACTTTTGGTTACGCGAGGAAGTGAAAGGTTTCTACCTACACCTCCATCTTGCCTGGAACTCCTTTCTAAAAGAAATGTTATCCACTCAATGATATGATTATTATTTCTATACTAGGTATTCATCTTATTTCATGTTTATATGATTTGTGTATATGCATTGATACTAATACCTAATTGTTTCTTATTCTTTTTTTGCAATGAGACTATGTTTTGTTTTATTTTCTGATATCACATGTTTAATTTTATTAGTTATCTACATTAAAGTTTCTTAAAAACATGTTTAATATTGCACTTATATTTTTTTAAACACTAGGATATCGGTGAATGTATAGATCGTGCGTACATGGATCCTAAGCGAAAAATTACTTCCTTCTCACAGAAGTGTGACCTTTATCCAGGTATGGATACTATGTGTTTATGCTCTAATAGTATATGTGATCCCAGACAACTAGGTAAATGTTTTCATAGGAACTGTGCTTTGGGTCCCATGATATGCCACAAAGTTTATATGATCAACAGACCTCTGCACAACTGTGCTGTAGCAGATGCAGTTGAGATTGCTCTGAAAGTGCCAGAAGGGAATATGGTGACAGAAGAAAAGACATGTTCTGTGGGCAAAGCTGGGCTCCTGATGCAATGTCATCTGGTCTTCCTTGTGTATAAGATATCCCTGTGCTGGGTGCTTTAATCTGGGGAAAGAGTATCTCATGTTTAATCACTCAAAATGAATTCCTTTCAATTAAAGACTATTTCCTCCTGCATGTTATAATGTGGGAAAAGGGAGATAGTGAGAGTTTAAGGTCAAGCCAGTATTTCTTATACCAAGTGTTGTTTTTTCTCATACTTGGAAGATATTTGCATACATTCCACAATGAGAAACATTGATGAAACTGCCTGATCACTGGAATATTAAGATTTATCATTTTTCCACTAGATAGTCATTCATTTTATATTAAACATTGCTTTTTATACTTTCTATCAAATTACCAAAACTAGGAAAAATACAGAATATTGATTCAGTCACAAACTAACACCTACCAATTGAAAGTTTCCCTAAATACATTTGACTCTGAGGGTAGGAAAGAAGAGAGACAGTAAGGAAAAGGTAAGACAGTAAGAAAGGCAACCTTCACCCACTTGCTACTGGATTTTGGGCTGCCGCATGGCCCCCTGCAAATGCATGTTGGACTATGAACAGGGGAGGTACTGAGCTAAATTGCTCCTTTGGTCACATACTGACTTAAAACCTGATTCTTTCAGGGGAGGATTTTGTACCACTACCTACCATAATTTGCCGTGGCTGCCCCAAAGAGATACCTGTAGACAGCCCAGAGCTGGCAGAACCTCTGAAACATTCCATCGCAAAGCTTAATGCAGAGAATAATGGTACTTTCTATTTCAAGATTGACACTGTGAAGAGAGCAACAGCACAGGTGTGTAAATTTTCTTGCAAAAACAGTGATATCATAGTTTGTGTGCAAATTGTTTATTGACTTATCATCTGGGTTGGAAAACAGTATACCTGGTGAAAGGAATTTGACTTTTGAGTCCCAGCCTCTCTGCATGCTTGATGTGTGATCTTGGACAAGTCTTGTGAACGAACATTCTTTTCATTTTCTGTCTGTAAAGGACAGGGGTGAGGATCAAATAAAATAATCTATGTCAATACATTATCTTTCCAAACTCTAAAGTGTTATATAAATTCTAGCAACTATTATATAACTAATAAAACATAGGGCTATAGAAAGCAGGACTTATTCTGTGCCTTTCCACTCTCCTTTCTTACTGTAGCATCATCTAGGGCCTCAGGTTCAGCCACATGAGTCAGTCCATCATTACCCAGTCTCTTCACACTCATACCTCTATGTCATTTCCCCTCTGGCTGGGTGTCCTTGTGGCCCACAAATGTACCTTCTAAGGAGTTGTTTTTCCTTCCATGCCCTGTTAATGGAGGGTAAGAAGAGTCCTGGTCTGGGGTTCCAGAGACCCAGTTCTACCACAGTACCTGCCCCTCATGTCCTAGGTAACCCTGGGCAGCCCTTCAGACTCACTCAGTCTCTGTGGCCCCACATGTAAATTGAGTGGCTGGATGAGCAAAGTCCAAACTGTTTCCAACTCCAACACCATATGGCTCATCTATTTATAGACAAATTCCCTAACAAACCTCAAAACTGGCCACCCTAATGATAAGCTAAAGAAAAGTAATCAAAATAGAACCAAACTCTTAGAGCAAATCAACAAACTTTATAAGCTGAAGGAAAAAGACCCTTCTCTTAAAATAGTTCATACTTTTGGCTCAGTAATCAAATTCCTAGAAATATAAAATAGAGTCTTTATAGACAACAACATTCATTGGAGCACTAAGTATGTAAGAAAAATTATAAACTATCAATTGATTCAATTGATTAATAATATAGAAAGAATATCAAGCAGCAGTTGTAAAGCATTTTTGTGAGGAGTTCTTGATGTGGTAAATTTCTTGTGTTAAAATATGCAGTGAAAAAAGAACAGGCCATCAATTGAATGTACATTCTGTCGTCAATTCTGTTATAAAAACTACAGAAAACACTGCTGAACATACACAAATGCCTCCAGCTGTTGACAGTGATGGCTTTAAGTAATGGCACAATGGGCTGTTTAGTTTCATCTTCTACTGTCCTGTATTAGTTTTACTACTGGGGAAAAATCCCTAAGCAAACATTATTAAAATAAATCAAGACTTACACTTTGATCTGTCTCCTACTTAGGTACCTATTCCTGTCCTGGACATCACAACCTTTTTCCCTCATTTCACAGGCACATGGCCCACATTGGGCTTACTCACAGGACACACCAATGATGCTACTCTTGAGTTTGTTGGCTTTTCTTGTCACTTCCTCTTTCTGCTCTCTTGTGAAATTCTGTTATTCTTCATGATGCAGGAATAGTCTAGTACTCCATCATACATTGTATGTCAGAGGTTTGCTGTCAGGAGAGAACCACTCACTGTCAAACATGTCTGTCTAGTCCTCTTAGTACTTAGAGTTCTCTCTAAATTAGCTAATCAACATTCTAGGATGTGTGTGTGTGTGTGTGTGTGTGTGTGTGTTTCATGCTGAGGTTGCCAGGGGAACAGCAGGTAATAAACAGCTGTGAATTGAAGGGAACTGGCTTTCCTTCACTTTTTTTTTTAAAATTTTTATTTATTTATCTTTAGAGGGGAAGGGAAGGAGAGAGCGAGAGAAACATCAATGTATGGTTGCCTTTCATGCGTCCCCTGCTGGGAATTGGCCTGCAGGGAACTGGCCTGCAACCCAGGAATGCGCCCTGACTGGGAATCGAACCGCGATTGTCTGTTTCGCAGGCCTGCGCTCAATCCACTGAGCTACACCAGCCAGGGCTCCTTCACTTGCCAAATATGGAATACATGAGAATCTCAAACTTTCTTATGAGCTGAATCTTGACTGATTTTTGCATTAAGAGAGGAATTTGGCTGTTCTGATATGGTCATTCAAGGAAGCCCAGGTGGGAGCAGCCAAGCTACTGGAAATCCATTTACCATGTGATGAATTTGCCTAAAGCCAATCTCCAAATGATTAAGTTGCCAAATTGCTAAAGATTTACTTTACAGATTTAGTCTTTCCTTGGCTTTGCATATTTAGTCCTATTTGAATGCATGTCCATTTCATGTTGGTTTCATATTTCATATACCAAATATTTCTTAAATATTCTGTTTTCACATGTGAATGATTTCAATATCTGTCCTAGGCCATCTATGTTGCCTTGTCTCTACCACCACTGTCCCTGCTGTTGCCCATATTGCTCCCAGTCTTCGGTCAGATGAATATAGCTCAATAATGTGTATGCACATTCATAATTTTTTTCTTTTACAAAATGCTGTTAATATGAAGGCTTATGTATATGTGAAACTTCTGATGCATATCACCAAACTGTTTACAATTATGCCAATTTATATTCACACCACCTGGGTATAAGTCATTGGTCATATGATTTGAGTTAGTTCTATTCCTATCAACAGTGATTGAGGCTCAGTGCTTCCCACACATGAACAATTCCAACCATCATTGCTGTTTTTCACTATTGCCAAAATACTAAAGATTAAAAATACTATTCCATTGGTTTGTTTAATGTGCATATTTTTGATTATTAATGAAGGTAAACATTTTTTTCAGGCTTAACAACCATTTTAACTTTTTTTTGAAATTACTTTTTTATGTCTTTTGTTTAGTTTTTAGTGTTCAGGTCTATATGCATAAGAATATTAATCCTATAACATATTAGTAAACCAGTAGGACTGCTGGGGAAAGGACTGCTTTAAGGAAAGGAAGGAAAAGTGAGAGACAGAGAGGAACACAGGTACAAAAATGGCAATGAATAAGTACCTATAAATAATAACCTTAAACGTAAATGGATTAAATGCTCCAATCAAAAGACACAGAATAGCTCAATGGATAAGAAAGCATGACCCTCACATATGCTGCCTACAAGAGACCCACCTCAGGACAAAAGACCATCACAGACTAAAAGTGAAAGGCTGGAAACAAATTTTCCAAGCAAACGGACAAGAAAAAAAAGCTGGGGTAGCAATTCTCATATCAGACAAAATAGACTTCAAAAAAAGGGCTATAAAGAGAGACCCAGAAATTCACTTCATAATACTCAAGGGAAGAATCCACCAAGAAGACATTAACATTGTAAATATATATGCACCCAACATAGGGGCACCCAAATATATCAAGAAAATCTTAGAGGACTTCAAGAAAGATATGGACAGCAACACAATTATAGTAGGGGATTTTTACACCCCACTGTCAAAAATGGACAGATCTTCCAAACAAAATATCAACAAAGATATTGCAGCATTAAACAACACCCTAGATGAAATGGACTTAACTGATATGTATAAAGCCCTTCATCCCAAAGAAGCTAAATACACATTCTTTTCAAATGCACATGGAACATTTTCAAAGATAGACCACATGATAGGACACAAAACGAGCCTCAACAAATTCAAGAAAATTGAAATCATACCAAGCATCTTCTCTGACCACAAGGGACTGAAATTGGAAACCAACCCCAAAAGAAAAAACCCAAAGCACCCAAAATCATGGAGACTGAATGGTATGCTATTAAACGACGAATGGATCAAGAATGAAATTAGGGAAGAAATAAAAAAGTTTCTGGAAACAAATGAAAACAAACTCAGAACAATTCAAAACTTATAAGACACAGCGAAGGCAGCCCTGAGAGGGAAGTTTATAGCAATACAGGCCTACCTAAAGAAGATAGAAACATTTCAAACAAACAACCTAACCCTATGCCTGCAAGAACTCAAGGAACAACAACAAAGACAGCCCAGAGCAAGCAGAAGGAAGGAAATAACCAAGATTAGAGCAGAATTAAATGACATAGAAACTAAAAGCAAAATTTTAAGGATCAATGAATCCAGGAGTTGGTTCTTTGAGAAGATAAACAAAATAGACAAGCCTTTAAGTAGGCTCCTCAAGAAAAGAAGAGAGAGGACACAAATAAACACAATCAGAAATGAAAGAGGAGAGATTACAACTGATACCACAGAAATAGAAGGGATTGTAAGAAATTACTATGAAGAACTGTATGCCAAGAAATTTGAAAACCTAGGGGAAATGGACACATTTCTAGAAAAATACAATCTTCCAAAACTCAATGAAAAAGAAGCAGAAAATCTAAACACACCAATAACAGCAAAAGAAATTGAAGCAGTAATCAAAAAACTCCCATCACACAAAAGCCCTGGACTGGATGGTTTCACAGGAGAATTCTACAAAGCATTTAAGGAAGAGCTAACCCCTATTCTCCACAGACTATTCCAAAAAATCCAGAAGGATGGAAAACTCCCAAATTCTTTTTATGAAGCCAGCATCATCCTAATTCCAAAACCAGATAGAGACACAACAAAGAAAGAGAACTTCAGGCCAATATTGCTGATGAACATAGATGCTAAAATCCTCAACAAAATATTGGCAAATCGCATCCAACAATATATCAAAAAGATCATACACCATGACCAAGTGGGATTCATCACAGGGTTGCAAGGATGGTTCAATATTTGCAATTCAATAAATGTAATACATCACATAAACAAAAGCAAAGGCAAAAACCACATGATCATATCAATAGATGCGGAAAAGGCTTTTGATAAGGTACAACACCCATGTATAATAAAAAAAAACTCAGCAAAGTGGGAATAGAGGGAGCATTTGTCAATATAATAAAGGCCATATATGAGAGACCTACAGCCAACATCATACTCAATGGGCAAAAACTAAAAGCTTTTCCACTAAGATCAGGAACAAGACAAGGTTGTCCACTTTCACCACTTCTATTCAATATAGTATTGGAAGTTTTAGCCACAGCGATCAGACAAGAAAAGGAAATAAAAGGCATCCAAATAGGAAAGGAGGAAGCAAAACTGTCACTGTTTGCAGATGACATGATAGTGTACATGGAAAATCCTATAGACTCTACCCCAAAACTGCTCAAACTAATTAATGAATTTGGCAAAACAGTGGGTTACAAAGTCAATATCTGGAAATCAAAGGCATTTTTGTATACCAACAATGAATCAGCACAAGCAGAAATCAAGGAAAAAATCCCATTCAATATAGCAAAAAAAAATATCTGGGAATAAACCTAACTAAGGAGGTAAAAGACCTGTATGCAGAAAACTACACAGCCCTGAAGAAAGAAATCAAGGAAGACACAAACAAATGGAAACATATACCTTGTTCATTGATTGGAAGAATTAACATCATCAAAATGTCCATACTACCCAAAGCAATATACAGATTCAATGCAATACCTATTAAAGTACCAATGGCATATTTCAGACATAGAACAAACTCTTCAAAAATTTATATGGAACGATAAACGACCACGAATAGCAGCTGCTATTTTGAGAAAGAAGAAAAAGTAGGAGGGATCACAATACCTGATATCACACTGTATTACAAGGCCACTGTAATCAAAACAGCCTGGTACTGGCATAAAAAAAGGCACATAGACCAATGGAACAGAACAGAGAGCCCAGAAATAAACCCAATTCTCTACAGCCAATTAATATCGGACAAAGGGGGCAGTAACATAAAATGGAGTAAAGATAGTCTCTCCAACAAATGGTGTTGAGAGCACTGGACAGCTACATGCAAAAAAATGAAACTTGAGCACCAACTTACACCATACGCCAAAATAAATTCAAGGTGGATAAAAGATTTAAATATAAGCCATGACATCATTAAAGTCCTAGAGGAGAACATCGGCAAGAAAATCTCAGATATTTCACGCAGCAACATTTTTTCTGATATGTCTCCTAGAGCAAGGAATATAAAGGAAAGAATAAACAAATGGGATCTCATCAAAATAAAAAGCTTCTGCATGGCTTAAAAAACCAGTATTAAATTAAAAAGACAACCAACTGTATGGGAAAACATAGCTGCCAATGATACCTCAGACAAAGGTTTAATCTCCAAAATATACAAAGAACTTACACGACTCCACTCTAAGAAGACAACCAACCCAATTAAAAAATGGGAAAAGGACTTGAACAGACACTTCTCCAAGGAGGACATACAGAACATCCAGAGTCACATGAAAAGATGCTCAATATCGTTAGCTATCAGAGAGATGCAAATTAAAACCACAATGAGATACCACTTTACACCAGTCAGGATGGCTATCATAAACAGAGCAACAAACAACAAATGTTGGAGAGGTTGTGGGGAAAAGGGGTCCTTAGTTCACTGTTGGTGGGATTGTAGACTGGTACAACCATTATGGAAAACAGTATGGAATTTTCTCAGAAAAATAAATATCGATCTGCCTTTTGACCCAGCAATTCCGCTGCTAGGATTATATCCCAAGAATCCTAAAACATCAATTTGAAAGAACCTGTGTGCCACAATGTTCATAGCAGCACAATTTATAATAGCCAAGAGTTGGAAGCAACCTAGGTGCCCATCAGTAAATGAATGGATCAAAAAATTGTGGTACATATACACAATGGAATTCTATGCAGCAGAGAGAAAGAAGGAGCTACTACCCTTTGCAACAACGTGGATGGAACTGGAAAGCATTATGCTGAGTGAAATAGGCCACGTGTTGAAAGACAAATACCATATAATCTCACTTTTAACAGGAAGCTAAACAACAAAACGAACAAGCAAGCAGAATAAAAACAGACACTGAAATAGACAACAAGGGGACAGTGACCAGAGGGGAGAGGGAAGGGAATTTAAGGGGAAAAAAGGGGAAGGATTTGGAGGAACAAATAGGAAAGACACAGGGATGAGAACTAAGGGGGGTGGAAATGGGAGGGAGGTGGGGAGTACGGGACGGGGCGGGGGGGGGGCGGCTGGGATGGGAGAAATAGACGAAAAAACTGTACTTGAAAAATAACTAAATAAATTTTAAAAAAATCACTAACTAATGAGAGAGAAACAAAATAAATTGGGCTATATAAATATTAAGTTCATTTTTAATTGGTATTAAAATGTAAAAGGCAAGCCATAGATTGAAAAAAATGACTGAGCAAGTAGACCAATGAATCTGCTTCAAATTTTGCATTAGGATTGAACATTCCTCCACAGGAAATTATTCAGATGACTCAAAAGACTTTTGGGGATGATGCAATAAGTGCTAGTGCTTCAGAGATTGTTAAGAATCTGTTGAAAGCGATCCACATTTTGGAAGGCCTGAAACAAACAAAACACCTGAGAATATTGACCATGTATGGGCTGCAATCAACAAAAATCAGTGACTCAGGTGACTCAGCCCTTATACAGCCCAGATTTGGTGCCCTGTGACCTCTGGCTTTCCCCCCAAATAAAATCAGCTTTGAAAGGGAAGAATTGTCATACTGTCAATGATTTAGGAAAATACAGAAGGATAGCTGATGGCGATTCCAACTAAGAATTTTGCAGAGAGTTTTGAACAGTGGAAGAGATGCCTGGAGAACTGTGTGAGGTCCCAAGATGTCTACTTCGAAGAAGACTGAGGTATCACTGTCCTGTGTACAAAATGTTTCTTGTATCCTCTTCAACAAATGTCTTCATTTTTTCATATATGGATGCATACTTTCTGGACATGTCTTGTAAATTAAAAAAAAAAGAAAAAGGAAAAACAACTATACGTGTCTGCCCTGGATTGTGTAGCTCACTGGATTGACTGCAGGCCTGCAAATCAAAGGGTTGCTGGTTCAATTCCCAGTCTGCGCACATGCCTAGGTTATGGACCAGATCCCCAGTGGAGGGTGTACAAGAGGCAACCACACATTGATGTTTCTCTCCCTCTCTATCTCCTTCTCTTTCCCTCTCTCTGAAAAATAAATGAATACAATCTTTAAAAAATAAAAATAAAAACTATACCTGTCATTTTGTTATAGACAAGGATTTTTAAAAGCATGAGTTTAATTTTTTAATAATAAATCATGCCTCTTCTAGATGTAAATAAATAAATAAATAGGGCAAGAAAGTGTTCATGGTGGAGACAGCATTATATAATGATTAAAACTATTCCTAGAGATTGAAATGGTTTCTAAATATAAAGAAAATTAGGTGAAGCAAACTAGAAAATCAAAATATTGGGTTGGCCAAAAAGTGCATGTTTTTTCCTGTTAATTAAAAAACACACTTTTCACTTTCACCAGTAACTTTATTGATTTGGATGATTTGAGTATATTGGCTATCTCCTGTGTGGTATAATGTTGATTGTTCTCAATTACTGTCTTGATTTGATCACAATCAATTTCAGCTGGTCTACTGACTACAGAGCATCATCCTGTGAGAAATCTCAAGCATGAAACTTTGCAAACCATTTTTGACATGTTTGATCAATCACAGCACCTTCTCTGTATACTGCATGAAACCTTTTTTGCCTTTCAGTTGCATGTTCACATTCCTTGAGATAATAAAGCATAATATGCCAAAAGTGTTGCTTATTTTCTTCCATCTTTAATATTAAAATTGCTACACAAAAATTCACCAATTTTGATGTTTTTTTAAATGCATGCTGATGTTACAGCTGTCACAATACAATCTAACAAAATTGTTTTGAATGCAGTTAAAAACAACTCATCACTACTAGAGCCATCTTATGGAAAAAAATGAACTCAGGGCAACTCAATAATTTGTCTAATCACATAATTTCATCCTCATAATTTCTATAGTGGCAATAACTTGGTATTTCTCTAATTAAAGCGTTGGCAGGTCAATAAGGCAGACTTAAAAAAATGTTTAAGATTTTTTTCTACTCAGATTTGATTAGAACACTTGAATGACTAATAAATTTTTCAGCTATTGAACAATAAAACTCAGGAAAGTATAAAAACAAAAATTATAGCCTGCTTTTTCTTTTTCCATGTAGAAAAAGAAATGAGACCAATCAACCAAATATTTTCCACATGCATACACACTGAATGTTTAGTTGTCAAACATTTGTGCTTTTTCTATATAATTCTCAATTGGTCATTGTGTAATTAAAATTTTAATATTCTCCCCTAAGATCTCTTAGGTTAAAAACAAAATATTTATCATGCAATATTAATTGAGTGGCTACATCGTGCTAATTTATTTTTCAGGTCATAGCTGGAAGAAAGTATTCTATTGAGTTCCTGGCCAAGGAATCCACATGTTCCAAGGAGAGTGATAAAGAGCTGACTGAAGATTGTGAGATCAATTTACTTGGAGTGGGTAGTAATGCAACTCTCTACTTATTCTCTGCATATATATCTACTTTATGTTTTAAATGTGTTTAAGTGATTCATGAATAACACTGTTCTCTCTTTTTTTTTTCATGGATAGGAAATTCTTGAATGCAATGCTGATGTTATTGTGGTACCTTGGGAGGACAGAATTTACCCTACTGTCAACTGTCAATCACTAGGAAAGGTATGATTATAATTACTGTCAGCTTGCTTAAATTTTGATATTCTGAAAAGCTCTATATGTGGTTAAAAATAAACCATTATTTAAATATTGGAGGACAATGTTAAAATGGGGAGAATTCGGCATTTCTGTGCTGAGCTCTCTCTTTTATGGCCAAAAAGGAAAACAGCAGTCCTTTTCATCACTCCCCACACACTGTGAGGGCCCCATGCTTCAGCAGCCTCTCTCTTAGTGAAGTGCAGCCCCAGCTGAGGAGAGCTGACACTAGCTATGCAGCTTCAAGGTGTGCCAGAGACACTCCTGTGGCATCTGCCTGCATCCAAGGAACTTGAGAGAAGTGCACATCTCAGACCCTGCTCCACATCTACTGAGTCCAAATCTGCATTTAACATGATCCCCAGGGGATGCATACCCACGTTCAAGTGTGAGAAGCATTAATTTGTATCATCTTTTGTAGTTCTTAAGAGAAACTTGGGAGGTAAGCAATTCTTTTCCCATTGTCAAGAATGAGACATTAGACATTAGCAAGCTACTGAGATCCTAGAGTGAATAATACCATTGTCAAGTGCATCCTCTGTCCCAGGCACTGCCCTGAGGACATCACACATACTTTTCTCCTCACAACTCTATGAGGCAGGGGTTGTTGGTCTTCCTTTCTTAGGGATGAGGAGAAAAGAGAAGCTAGTGGCCCTGAGATGCAAGTCTAGGTCAAATCAGAGCCTCCACGTGCACATGATGCTGATAACTAGGGTCTGGCTTGTTTGACTCTAAGGAACATGCTCTCTGCAGCACTGAACGCTGCCTCCAGCCATCGAGTCCCTGGTAGCAGCGAAAGTGCAGGAAGAAGTAATCTGTATCTTCCATGCAAGTTGCTTCTTCTCCCTTTTTTCTGATTTAGGTTTCCTCCAAGCATAGATATATGTACAGTCTAACACAAACATGATACAAAGGCTGCATTTCAAGCTTGTGAACATATTCTAAAGTGTTTCAGCCCAAAAAGGTGATTGTGGATATGTGCTTCATGTCTATTCCATTTTTAAAGCCACTTCAAGTCTTTTAAAATAAAAGCAGTAATGGTGCTGACAGAAATAGTATCAACTAATAAATAATGTGCCATGGGTTTACATAAACATAGGCCTAGAAGGAATCCTAGAGATTATGTATTTCAAATGACCAATTATTCCAAAGGAAAAAAAACTTTCTATCTTAGTGGACTATTACTAAGAACAATAATCAATATCCACAAATTATAAAGTCAATAAAAATATCTACATTCTCATCCTTTCTGCAATATTAATATAGCATTTAAAGACTTGCTGCATTGCAAACCAAGAGAACATGGCCAGGTCTGAGCCCCTTCTTACTTCATGGACCGTGTGGCTTCACAATAATGCATTGATCTTAATATTTCCTATTTAGACTTCAATGCTGAAAAGACCTCCAGGTTTTTCACCTTTCCGATCAGTACAAGTGGAGGAAACACATGAAGTAACAAATGTAAGTCCACCCCACACTTCCATGGCACCTGTACAAGAAGAGCAGGATTCAGAAAAAGGACAGGGACCCATTTGGGAACATGGCTGGGGCCATGAAAAGAAAATAAAACATGGCCTTGGCCTTGGCCATAAACATGAGCATGACCAAGGCCATGGTCACCAAAGGGGACATGGTCTGGGCCATGGACATAAACATGATCATCATGGTCATAGCCATGGAAAACATAAAAACAAAGGAAAAAAGAATGGGAAGCAGAATGATTAGAGAGCAATGCATTGGGCAAGTTCCTCTGAAGATATTACTACATCTGCACAGAGCACACGCACATGAAAAAACAGGAAGGCCAACACCCTTCCCTTCCTCAGCCCAGCCAGGTGTAGTTACCTTTTCTGACTTTCAGGACTTAGATTTCATTGCAGCCACAATGACTAATAATATACCACCAACGCCCACACTGACTGATGATGCTTGGATCCCTGAAATCCACATACAGCCAAAAAGCCTTTCATTTAACCTGATACCTGATTTTCCAGAAACCAGCTCCCCAAAATGTCCTGGACGCCCCTGGAAGCCACTTAGTGGAGTGAATCCAACTGTAGAAATGACATACTTTCATGATTCCGATCTCTCTGATGCTCTTTATTAATGTATGCAGCCATGGGGGTTTCTTTAACACTTCACCATCCCCTTTCCCCATTGCCCAAATACCCCATTGTAATGCACCAAAAACCATGAAGCTTCAGAACAGCCTAGAGAGAAGTGGTGAGACACCCAATGGGGACACATCAGTTCCTATGCACAACATGAAACTGCATGCAGAATTCTAAACCCTTTCTGAGTCTTCCTCACATGTTTTCTTAACTAGCACAGAAAATGGGCAACCAAATGTGCCTTGTGGCTTACTGCAATTTACTTTTCTAATAACAAATGTGTACATTAGAATGATATTGGTCTTCATACAAAGATTCTTACCATTTTGAGTAAACTGTGGCATCTGGTCCCTGAACACCTGTGAAGTAAAGTCAAGAGACAGAATGCTGAACTTCTGAATATGAGAAAAATAATCATAAAAAGCACTAGAAGTCAAGGAGGAACAAAGAAGAAAGGCTGACATAAACTAATTGACTTCCTGTTTCCATAATGGCCTAGTTATATCAAAGAGTTACTCCCACTTGATGAAGTTACTCTGATAATTCTCTTTCTGACTGAGAGTGTTTCTCATAAGCCAATAGTTTCCGTTACCTGGTTAACTACTCTTTGCAACATGGTTTTCAACTAGAAATTTTCTGTGTGTTTATGTGTTGCTGAGGCTGGTATGAGTACTCCTTAGTTTTTAGCAGCTATGCATTGAATGAAAAGAATGGAAAGCAGAGGAGGTAAGATAGAGGCAGGCTTGTGAAGGGAATCATTCCTAGTAATTGCCAGGGGAACACCATGAGATGTGTGATGCAACGTTTGTTCAGAAAATTTGGCAGGTGTTGCCTCTCCACCCACACTCTACCATCGAATCATCTTTTTTTCTGCAACACTGGGAAGCACCGATTTTCGCAAAAAAAGTACAATATGATTGTGTTTAATCTCTTCAATGTGAGGGAGGCACATATTTTAAAATACTTGCTGTGTTTTGCCTTGGGAAACAAGATCTGGCTTTAATCAACTACAGTTGCCTGTGGATGTATGTGTCCCTGCCACTTCAATTCATGGAATGATTTGAGCCTCTGAGTTTTTATTTCACTTTAAATATTATCTGTACTTTTCGATAAAGAACCAGTGATGCCAGGAAGAAGTCTCGTTTTGTCAAGTGGTGCTTTTCTTTTAGTGAATGATAACATCAGATTAACAAAATTTTACTCTATTTACAGAGGCGACTAAGACATTGCGAGTACAAGGGCCGACCTCGGGAGGCAGAGGCAAAGCCAACATCTCCGAGTGAGGTCTCCTGACCAGTGGGCAGAATGTCCATGCCTGGCACAATAGCCCCAACAACCAACCAGTCAGCAGCCTTGTGTGGAAGAACAAGAAGGTGGGAGAGAATGCAGTTGAGAAGAATGCCACATTATCACTCTGTGTCTGGATGAAATAAAGTTTGATCTTGATGTTCTGACTCCTGGTTAATTCAGAGTAGTCTGCTTTTAGCCACACCCATCCTGGAGCAAAGTCCACCAGCAATCTAAGGAATCTCTCACCTGCCCTTCTTCCTCCCTCTAATTCCCAGCTCAAAGTTAAGAATAATTTGTCTTGTTTTACTATTTTTATGATGTAGATAATTTTTAAAAAGTTCTTTGTTAATACAATGTCTACCAAGTTTTTATTAGTGAAAATATTTAACCTCAGGAAGTTTAAAGAAAATTAAAAATTATCTTTCTGGTCCAAATAAAGAAGAAAATAGACATTTAATACAATCAAAAGTGATTGAGGTTTTCAATTTCTGTAATAAAACTCACTTGCTGAATGCCCACTATAGCCCTTTTAGACAGGGCCAGACAATTTCTGCCTGTGTGACTTGGTCCTGACAACCACTCTAGGTCCCGTGGTCACCCTTCTTCTACAATAAACAAACTCTAGGTCCCATTGTCCTACTCAGGGTCATGCAGTTACTATGCTAGAGAGCTGGCACTCCAACTCAGACCTTTGAAACTTCATTGTACCACGGTATCATGAGGCATTAAGTTCAATGTAGTCATTACCAAAACACGCATTTCTGAATCTGAGGTGATCAGCATCTCAATACAACAACCCTTAATAAATATCTCATTGTGTCAGGTGCTGTTCTGAGCATGTTCAGGGTAAACTATAACTGAGTCAAGCACCAGCATTGGCCATTTACTGTATGCTTAGCACCGGGTACTGAAATGAAGTGAAATAAGTGTTAAAGGCATAAGTCCTTTCCTTCATGGGACTCACAATCAGATTGGGAAGTCAGGACTAAAGCATGAGGAACAGATTTCATCCATGCCATGATGATTTGTGGAGCAATAAGCAGACCTGATGAGTGTGGAAGATGTGGAGGGAAAAACTTGGAAAGATAAAGTCCAATTGGGAATATGGATTTGTAGTGGGCAGTAGAGAGCCTGTTACAGGTCTTGAGCTAAGATGTACTAACAGAGCCTGTATGAAAGCCATCACTCTGAAGCTTCTGGGGAGTATTGATTAGAGTGAGATGAGACTGGTCTCAAGCCAGTGGTCCAGGTACTTCACCAGAAGAATGACTGCTCAGAGCTGGGTTAGAAAACCTACAGTTCTCACTTTACTCAACAACATGAAGTATTTCCACTTAGACCTATGCTGGATAAAATACTCAGAAGTTTCTGGTGACTCAACACCTACCCCTCACTCTTTAAATATCTGCATGCTCTTCTCACTCTCAAACCAAAGGCACACCATGTTTCATACCTTGGCTCTGAAACCACACAGCTTCATCCATTTGTGCTTCTTTTCAGTGCAGAAATTCCTCTTGTCAGCCCAACCCACACTGCTCATGTTGTCTAGGCCCAGCATCTCAAGCAGGCAGCCCTTCCTGGCTTTTTACCCCTTCTCCCATTTTCCACTTCTAAGCCTTTTCTGAGTATGTTCTGTGCTCATACTTCACCCCATTTCTCCCCAAGCTCTTACTGGTGCTCTGTGGGAAAGGCCAGACCTCCCCAAGTTTTTCCTAGGGGAAGACTTGAGGGATTCCAGTAGATAGGATAACAACCCACTCTTCTAGATCTTTCAATGTCTCTACCTATAATAAGTTAGATGATTAGAAAGCACAATATTATCTAAACAGCTGGCAAAAATGCTCCTGTTAAATTATTTACCTTCAGTCTTATTCTGGAAGAATCTCCATTTGACCACACATTTGGGGTTTTGCAACATCTTAACTGACGGTGTTGCCCAGTATTCACATTGGAGGCAGTGCACTAAAGTTGTTGAGAACCCGGGTTCTACACTTAGCCTGAATTCAAAAGCTAGACATTATGTACTTTAATAAAATCCCACTTTTCTGAAATATTAGATTAACAATATGCTCACATAATAGGTGTATTGTGAGCTTTCACAAAGGGTAGCTATTGTTTCATTACTAGGACATAAATATATTGCTTTTAGAATTTTACTGTGGGGAAAAAATTTTGTCCAAAAATGAGATGTGTTTAATACCACCATACATCCCTCTTTGCCTTTGCCACCATACATCGGTTTCAAAGGTTGTAATCAGTTCATATCAAGTGGCTGGCAAAATCTACCTCATTTTCAATTTCACATTCCTCAACCTTGGCTGCACATTAGACTCTCCTAGGATGGTCCAGACCATGTGAAACCAAATCTTGCAAGTTGTTCTGAGTATCTTGTTTTTCAAAAGTTCTCCATTCATTCTAGTGCACCTGAAGGTTAGAGCAATTAATTTAGGTCTACTCTGTTTCCTTTTAATCTTAATTATATAGTCTTGCAGGGTTCCACTTATTCTTTTTGAAAATAAGAGGGTTATAAAACTCATAAGGGATAAATGGATGAAGAGATTGGTGGACAGATGGACAGCAGACAGATAACTACGTATTACAAGGAGGAACCCAAATAAACAGAATAGTTATTTAAAAATTGGGTATTTATTCTTATATATTTAAACATCAGTCTCTTTCAAAGTACTCTCCATTGATGCAATACTGCTATTAAGACATTTTTCCACTGCTCAAAACAGTTTCTAAACTTGTCAATTTTGATGACTTTTAATGCTTCTGCTGTTTTTTGTTTCACCTCTTCCACATCAGCAAGACATTTTTCTTAGAGGAGTTTTTTATCCAGAGAAACAAAATAAAAGTCACTTGGGATGAGATTAGGTGAATAGGGAGAGTAGGATATGGGCGTCATGTCGTTTTGATCAACTGCAGAACACTCAGTGCAGTGTGGGTAGGTGTGCTTGTAAACCACCTATCATGACATGGGCAAATGCATTGAGTTTTCAAAAAAGTTTTATTGAAGCCGAACACAGCCTCTCACAAACAGCACCAGCTGTTACACAGATACAGATAGAGTCCTAGAATGCTCACCTAGCAGGGAAAGCCTTTACTACAAAGGCCCTGTCCTCCAGAAGATAATTCCAGTTTGGGGGGATCCCCCCTCATGTATGCACTAGGATTGTTACAGTAAGAATGAAGAGTACAAGATTGGTATAAATGGCCTTTGAAAGACTTATAAACAGCCCTGATTAGAGTGGGTCGGTGGTTTAGGCATTGTGCTACAAACTGAAATGTCACCAGTTCAATTCCCAGTCACAAGCCTAGGTTGCGGGCCAAATCCCCAGTTGGAGGTGCACAGAGGTAACCAATTAATTGATGTTTCTCTCACACATTAATGCTTCTCTCTGTCTCTGTCTTCTTTCCTTTCACTCTCTCTGAAAATAAGTAAGGAAAAAAATTTAAAGACAGAAACAAATTGCTTACTGAGTATGAGGAATGAAGGACAGGAATAGGCCAAAGATGACAACATTTTTTTAGTCTAGGTGCCTAAGGGAATGTTAATGCCATTATCACAAAGAAGGAAACTGGGAGATGGTCTGAGCTTTCTTATGACTCATAAAAAAAGAGACTGACCTAAAATGCACATACTTTAAGATATCTTAACAGCTGAATAAACAAACCTATGAAATTATTATGCAGATGAGTATAAAATGCTACAATGATCCACCTCAAATTATTTTGCTTAGTTCAATATCTGTGGCACCTGCCACATTAGCAGGAAATATCACTAGATACTTATGGACTGAGCTTGTGGAAAAACTATAATTACAAAACTCCTTCTCATGTAAAAAAGAACAGAAAGGAAAAAAATTATTTCCTGAAAGTAGTCCTAATTTATATTTCTACTGATGAGCTAATCTAGTGAAAGATCTTCATTAGGACAGCTTTTCTGCCTCCTGTCTTCTCTATGTGGCATTTGGAGGTGGTACCATTCTGAGTGTGTGGAAATACCACTATTTTCATTCAGGACATCTGCAGTGGGGCCCTGGAATTTGAATTTCTAATGAGTTCCCAGGAGATGCAAGGGCTGCTGGTACAGGGACCATAGTTTAGAGCTGCTGGTGTAAGACTTCTTACCCTGCCTATACTTTATAATCACTTGGCCAATGTTTCAAAATATTTCACTAGGAGCATCGCCCCAGACCAATTCAGTCATGTTTTAAGAGTTCTGCTGGTGATTTTAATGTGCAGGTCAGGGTCTAAGCCACTGAAGTAATGAATACAAGCAAGCACTTTTGGGGGGGTGGGTTACGTGCTGTGTGCCAGACTCCATGTGAAGATCCCATACACATGATCACATCGGTGAAGCCCATTTCACAGGTGAGAAAACTGAGGCTCAGGGAATTGAGATCAGCTGGCCAAGATCACATAACCAGTGTTAGTAGGAGAGGAAGGATGGAACCCGGGTCTCCTTGACTGGAGTCCACACTTAGAGCCACAGATGCCTGTGCCACATGGCCTCACAGAAACAGCACAGTGATTTAAATGTTGAAAAATGAGTAGAAGTTCTCCAGGCAGACAAAGGAGGGAAAGCTTTTCAGGCAAAAGTGTGGGAATACTTTGTTTTATTGTGCTTGGCTTCACTGAGCTCCACAGATGTTGTGTTTTATACAAACTGAAGGCAAGAGCCTCCACCAGCAAAAAGATTGTGGAGGTCAATAACGACAATTAATGAGCACATACCTCTTCCCTGCATTTAATCTATTTTGAACATCTAGTAATACTTGGTTCTGAAATCTTATACACCCCAAGACAGCTCTATGGTAGTTATATGTGTTAGGTGAATATTAATAAATGAAAGCCAGAACATAGGACTGGCAAATACGGGACTAAGATTGAGACTATTCATATTTAAATATTCATTTAAATGTTAAAATTTACCATAATATTTTGATCCATTCATTTACTGATGGGCACCTAGGTTGCTTCCAACTCTTGGCTATTGTAATTGTGCTGCTTTGAACATTGGGGTGCATCGGGAAACAGTGGGATTGGTGTTTTAGGGTTCTTAGGATATAATCCCAGCAGTGGAATTGCTGGGTCAAAAGGCAGGTCGATTTTTATTTTTCTGAGAAAATTCCATGCTGTTCTCCATAATG